CACCGCGGAAAGCGTGGCGGACACGAAGAAATCAGTTTTCACTTTGAAAATACAGGAGAACTACATTTCCTGGGTAATCGAATGCGATAACCACATACAAAGCCATTCGAGCATCCCGTATTTCTCGCCTACCGGTTAAGGGTAATTTTCCAGCCGCCATTATCTGTTAATAAACGCTATCGTTATTTCTATCTCGGCGAGATAAACGGCCGATCATTTTTCTCCGTCCGGTTATTTATCGTGATTCAGTAGAACGATCCGGCGTGTAAAGTTCGACGTCTGTCGAAGCGTGCACGCTCCGATCGCGTCCTGTGTGCATCGACAGTGTCGAGCGGAATGTGGGTCGCGACTCATTCGGGTCATTATAACAATCAAGTTGTTCGAGGTTCATTGCTCCCGTTTCGCGCACGCCGCCGAACTGTTTTCCTTGTTGTTGCCGAACAAACCGTGAAGACGTCGCTGCCCGGCCAGGAGTCGGCGATAAACGAAGGCCTTGAACGTCCTTTGATCCGAAAAATCGTCGGAGAGCGTTGCGAAACGGTTCGACCGCTGGAAATCGGGCCAACGGCCGCTCGATCGCGCTCGATCCCATCCCTTTCCCGAATAATTCCGACCTATTAAGCGTAATTACTTGGCTCGTCGGTCGGCCAGGAATATATCGCGTCGGTTAAACGTGAACTTGTGACGTCACTCGGTGACACGCACACGCGTGAACCTCGCTGTGGCGTGACCGTGTCGCGTTATAGCACGCCCCCGCAACAAAGTCGCGATTTCCTTCGGGAAACCAGTACCCGACGATAGCGGCTGCGGTGGGGCGGACACTTTGTTCTTCGGCGCGCGCGTATCTGGATCAAATCGCGAACCAGTCTTCGTCGGGTTCGCAAACCCGTCTAACGAGCTACCCGAAAAACCGTTACGCCTGGTCCCTTTTTTTCCATTTTCAAACGGAGAAACCGCGAAAGAATGCTCGGTCGTAGATTTATGGCGAGACGATGGTTGCCTTCGTCTTGCTGTGATCATCGATTCAACGTTTGAAATCATATGGAGTAAGAACAATTCGATTGTCAGCAGGAATTTTATTATTTGTTCCTCGGATATAGAGGCCTTTGTGAAGGATAACGGAGAGTTGTACGGTGTTCGTGATATTAGAGAAACGGTAGCGTGATCGACGCGAAGATCTAACCAAAACGTGGCATTAAGTATCGAATAGGGGGTAATCTTCGCGAGCACTTCACGCGTTCAATCTCTGCCGTTCATTGGACCCGTTTAGCGCGAAATGCGCAGCTTCCGGTGAAATCTGGGGGATTGTTTGATCCACTAGGATCCAGCTTTGTTTCGATACTCCAATTCTAACGTAATATTCAAGAATATCGATAAATCTTATTAAAGTATTCTACACGAGTCATCATTCTTCAAGATTCCTCGAATTCCTTTATTCGAATTGATCTCCAAACGACTCTGGCGGTCACGTTGGAATGCCAGAACGATTTGCGATATTCGACTCCGAAGTATCAATCCAGTCCAATGTACAAAGACCTGGGAACATAGATACAACTATAACTAAAAACCGAGTTACCCAAACATCGCAACATTCTCCATTCATTCCCCATTATTTGCTTCTTTACACCCACCCTCGTGTAAATCCATTATTACCGTAGCGGACGGAGGTTTCGAAAACGAACCCGAAGTTCGCGCAGTATAGGGGTTGAACTCTCCTCGGCGCGACGATCACAATTAATTAAAGATACACACGTGTGCGGGGGCGGATTAAGCGGAAAGCGTGCTAACGTGGCGGAATCGAATCGAATCCGGAAGAAGGAGGGACTCCCGCTCTCCCACTCCGCCACCCCACGGTTACCGAAAGGAAGTTTCGTTGCGGCGACTGCGGAATAATCATCGGGCCGCGCGACAGTCGGCCACAGTCAGCCGCAGGGTTGGCAGCCGTGCGGCGCGACGGCAGGGGGCGAAAAGAGTGACTCATCGTTGCGCCAGGCCAGGCCTGGCCTCACGAGGCTGCAGGTCAGGAGAGGAAGACACTTTTAGCCCACATTTCTTCCCCTGTCTTCTCTCTCTCCTTTCTCTTGTTCCTCTCTTTCTCTATCTCTCTGTAGTTAGCCGCGTTCCTTTATTTTTATCCGGCCCGTTTATTCGCGGTTCCTCGATTCCTATCTCGTTTCCTGCTCACTGCCGTTTTCCTCCTTTCCCGTGGTAGATAGCCAGTAGTATTTACCCACCGATGATTACTTCCGGATATATAAATGTCGAAGAAGCGGGAGCAGTGTTTAGATTCTCTTAATTCTCATTACGCTGCACTCGTTGGTTCTTCCATAGGTTTGGCACTGTATTGATGATTGGAAAGTTTGTTGACACAATTAAGAAAGTGTCTTAACGCTAGACCTACCGAGTAGCTAAATTGACTTATCTTAATTCTCTTGTAGAAACTCGAAAGTCCAGTTTGCCTGCTATCGAATCAATTAGTAGCTTTACAAGCAAGCATGTGTTACCTTTCTAATAGTTCTGAAGGAAGCCGGGAATGCTTCAGTCTAATCCATCTAGTAGTTCTACTGACAATGTTAGGAAATATTGAGTCAATAGTCGAACCACGGTGAAATAGAACGAAGAAGTAACCCTCGTTAATCGAACGCGTAGAATCCTAGAATCCACCCCAAAAGACGCGCAAGGGGGGCCGAGACCCCGAGGTCCGAAGACATCCACCGATTCTTGGTGTTACTTCTACTCGGCTCGCGTTTCTCGAGACCGGAAGACTCTCAAGACTCCCGAAGCAGCCCCGGTAGGGCTTCGAAAACCGCACCGCGACACCCCGAGGTGTGCAGGATTCTAGGGTTCCCGAGCCGGCTGCCCAAGAATCCAGCGAGCTCACCCGAAAATCGGTCGCTGCGAAACGGAACACGAGTTTCTTCTTCGGATCCCCCTTGTGTTCGCCGCTCCGATCGCCGCCGGCGAACAGTACAGGTTTAGAGAGACGTGTGGTACGCGGAAGTATGGCGGACCTGCTGCGCGGAAGGTTTATTAGCTCGTGGTTTCACGAGAAATCGCTGTGTACACAATCCCGGGCCAGCGATTCCGTCCGGTGGGAGGCTGAATCGCTGCATTGTGCTTCCCGTCGGCCTCCCCCACCCTTCCAGCCGGCTCCTCTTAGGTGTACACGGAGGGAAGATAAACGGGAATGTCTGTTCGACTATTTTCTCCGGTTATTTGCCGATTGTAAACAGAGAAAGTCACCGGAGCAGCGGATATTTTCGACGTCCCGGCCCGGCGGCACGTCGAAACAATGGGATTATACGGAGAGGACCGTTACGTGGCGGACGCCATCTTGGTCATTGGTGGTCGACGCCTTTTCGAGACTTATCGCGGTCACCGGTCACTCTAATTGCATTTGTGCTTTGCGTTGCGACTCTGTTTTAACGGACTTCGATTCTCTTGTTTGGAGTCGGAGAGACTCGTAGCGAAGACTTCTGGGCCGGCTTAACCCTTCGCATTCGATGGACTCGTCATTTGGTTTGATAAAGCGGAATTATCAAGGTCGATGTTTTATATCGAACTTTGTGTAATGTATCGATACGTGGAATAGGTTTGTTCTTTGATTTATGATTTTCTCTTTCAACCCTTTGCACTCGAAAAATTTATCACTAGAAATATTCAATTTATTTTTATGAGATATAAATGACAGTTTTTTTAAACTAAGTTAACGAGGAATCTATTCGCGAAATAAGGGGAACAATGGTGTTTTATTTCCATATTTCACGTATCGACAGATCACTCAAAATTTAATGTTAAATAGGAAATTTTACAATTTTGATGCACAGTCGAGTGGTGACTGAGAAGCACCTTTGGAGTGCAAAGGGTTAAGTTGACTTGCAAGGAACATTCTAGGGCAAAGGATTAAAAATCGATGTTTCTTGGTTGATGTGGAAGATTGTTTTATTACTGTCGATGGTGTAGCTTTAAAAAAGTGTTCTGTGAGTAGGAACACGTTACGTGGAAAGTAACATGCCGATCTTCGGCGGTTAGGGCAACAAATATTTCCTTCGTCAACGCGACAGGAGACAAGCTTCGCTTGTAAAGCGATCTTGTTAAATCCCCGAGCAAATTTTTCGGTAGGAAACAGCACCTGTCCCTGGTCGGCGTTTTTCTGGAAACATGATACTTCACGCGACGAGTTCCCACGACCGAGCGACTTGCTCGGTCCCGTTGGGTCCTGACCCAGACTATGATGCCCTGGAACGAGGTCTGTAGATTCTAAAGTCACAAAATTGTGTCGATTGAAGTCCAAACAAAATGGTCAACGAAGTGGAACGCACGTTGTAGTCTTCGTAAAATGAAGGAAGACCTTTGGAATATAGTGATCTGTCATTGGTATGAAAGAATAAGGCTTGATAAATACTACGGTCTGCTAAACATTCTTTCCTTGCCTATTGTTTCCGATGAACCAAGATAGAGCAAGATCGGGCCGGAATTCATAGTGTGAACTCGTGCAGTATCAATGACTGATGAATATTCGATAGAACTATTAAGTAATACTAAGTAATACTAGTGATATTAGCAATACCAGTGATAGTAAAATATTAAGCAATAATAAGCAATACTAGTAATATTAACAATACTAGCGATACTAGTAAAATATCAATCAATACAAAGTAATATCAGTAGTATTAGCAATACTAGCAAACTACTAAGCGGTACTAGTAATATTAGCAATACTCGCGATACTAGTAAAGTATTAAGCAATAATAAGTAATACTAAGCAACAGTTAGCAGTACCAGTGATACTAGCAAACAACTATGCAATACTAAATAATACTATAATAGCAATATTAGCAATACAAATAAAAATCTAAGAACAATTCAATCATTTAAGAATAATACAAGAATCTAAGTAACACTAAAACACTAAAACTTCTCGTATCAGTGAACGCGTCTCAACGAAAAGGAACATCAGACTTCCCTCTAACGACAACGATTTCCCATTTGTTTTCCAGGTGGACACAAAGAGTTCCACAGGCGGCACAGGGATCTCTGCGAGGACACGTTGCTCCCATCAAACGGGGCCGGTCCATCAGCGGTCAGCGGTTGCCCTAGTCCCGGACCTGGTTGCCCAGTGTTGAGCCTATCCGGACCGCCGACTCCCCAACCCGCGGACATCGACAGCCACCCGGCGTCCCGTGTCCTACCCTTCTTGTACCTAGGCAACGGCCGGGACGCTGCCGATCTCCAGCTCCTGCGCGCGCTAGGCGCCACCAGAGTCCTGAACGTCACTTCGCAGTTGCCCGGTTACCATGAAGAAAGGGGCATCACCTACAGACAGATTCCTGCGTCGGACTCCGGCCACCAGAACCTCAAGCAATACTTCGAGGAGGCCTTCGAGTTCATCGGTGAGTGTCAGTCTACCTCCGGTCCGCGCGCAGACGGATGTTGTTCAGAGCCCGCGATTCCCGTGTAACACTTTCCCCGCCGCTGACACGCGCGTCGCGCTCCGTCAATTGTTCGATTAACGCTGCTGACGCAACTGTTGCGTTTCAGTTGAGCACTTGTCGTTATTGCTCCTTCGGCCCTTGCGGGACCAATGAAAACGGAAACGATATGGGTAGCGGCAGTTTCATAGCGCGACAGTTATAGCTCGTTTCATTGCCCAGAAGTGTTATATTACGGGCTCGTAGGATCACACTTCGTTTATTTCTTTTCAATCGTCCACTTTCGTCTTCTTGGTTACTTGCTTAGAAATAGAGATACGGAGTTCAGTTAGCATTATCCTCTGTGAAAATAGGCGAACGTGGTTTACGAGCTGAAACGATAGATCGTCTAGCAACTGTTCGACCCGTGGGATTTGAAGTAGACGTTTAGGCACTAAACCTCTGTTGCATCAGGCTACTGGAAGCATGTTCCGAGGAAAGCGTTGTCCTGTTCGTTCGCGGCGTACTCGGCCAGCGAAACGAGTTCACAGCAAGCTCCCGGTCGTAGCATTTCCGCTCACTCGTCAACAGGGTTGGCTAGAGTCCGGTGCGGCGGTCCGCAGCTAGTAAAACACGGCCGGGATTAGTCAGGCCAGAACACAGCAGTGGGGGGATGGATAATTGATGAATTGGACGACGAGAGAAGCATTTGAATAGTTAGCGGGAGGAAACGCGAGACGCGTTTATAATGCGCCGGCTGACATTGAACGAGCAAGCGTGGTCCGATCCATTGACGGTTTTCAGACCTGTTGCTCCGCCGCGACTGAAAATACGCGCGCGGTGCGTCCGTTCCCGCAAATTGGTCCAATTGCATCGGCCGGTGTCAAATGTCGGGGTGAGGTTACGGCCGGCGCGTGTACCGCCCGGTGGCCTGGGCTTAATTCAACGTGAGAGAGACTACTAAAACGGGAGAGAGGTCAGTCGACGCGAGCTCTAAACGTTCACAAAGAGAGAACGCTGGCCTCTGGTCGATGAGTAATTCTTTCGGCTGGCTGGGTGTGTCCACGGCCAATGATCGTCATTGCCGTTCATAACGCGCCACGAAACTCGACTCCCGACGCGGGTCGGCTACGACTCGCTCGCGATTCACGTTCCCAACGATGGAGGATACGTGTTCGTTGGATTAACAGTCGGATCATCCAGGATCATCCAGGTGTCTTACTAGACCTGGCTTGTTCAAATTCTATTATATAATATTCTGACCCCATAAGGTTATTGTAACTCGAATTATTTTACCTATATAGCTACGACACATTCATATTTAAAGTGGAGACCCGTAGAAAGTGTGTGAATCGAATTTTTATTCGCGAGTTAGTCCTCCAAATATGAATATTTCATCTTATCGAAATGCCGACATCCGTCTGCAGAGGGTTAAATGTGGCCTAGAGAAGCTAAAAGATTAGACACCCACGCTCCAGGCCTTCGGACGCGGAAACTTCCTAACGGTCCGGATTCAAGGCGTCCTTTTATTTCCCCTCTCATGGGAACCAAGGACTCGATCCTTTGTGATACCTGCACCGGTTAAACTTTCCATCCTGATTGGACCCTCCCGTTCCCCGGGAATAAAGATTCCACCGTTAAAACGGTAAACGCCGTCCGCCTCGGGCGCCGGAAGAACGCTTGGATCGTAACTCGCGATTTATTCGCGCGGAAAATTGTTCAGGATTCGTGAAGGGTTTGGCTGATGGGAATGATACACAGACAGGGGGTGATTTCAATGGACACTCGTAGATTTTCCAGTTGAACGAAGATCGAATTCGAACAAAATTTGTGTGAAAATACTCCATTGATGGGGTTGAAAATTCAACCTCTTTCAACCACAACAAACTCTTCATTAAACAACGTATCCGTCGTCAAAGCGAAACGTAAAAATTCCAGCTTCATATCAACAAGGCAAATCGCAAGGCAATAACCGCGAACCGAGCACCCGGAACATTTCGACACCGCTTCTTCAGCGTTTACTTCTAATATCCTCAAAAAGTTCCAAACTTTCCAATGTAACGTCGCTTCGCTAATACAGCAACGTATCGATCTCCTATCGCATTAACCCTTTAAGTGCTGAATACTTCTAACTGAAACGTTCCGTGTGGACGGCATATTTCGTTGCTCGTTTGGTGATCGACGAATTATGTTAATTTATACAATTAAGTTGCGATCAAATCGAGATTGTAATACCTCAATTTCACTAAATTTAATGATGCCAGAGAAAGGCGTATATTAACCGCGTACACGTAGAATTGTTAGCACGGTACGCGTGAGACTAAAAAGATCGAAAAACGCATACACGCGCCCACAGCACTCAATGGGTTAATTGCCTGTAATTCCATCTGAAAACCGCGAATCGACGTACAAACGAAAAGGACGCTTCAAAGTTGGCAATAAACTAACATATTCTACGACTAGTACAGCGTATCGATCCTCTGTCGCATCAATTTCTCGTAATTTCCCACGGAAAGGGCTGAAAACACCCCGCTCGAGGCTCGAGTCGCGCTGCGCGGGACCTTGAAGGGTCAAAGTCGTCGCTTTGTTTGCCCACAAGAGACGTCTTAACGGTCAACGCACCAAGGTGCCCTTCATTTCACGCAACAGTCCCTACGGTGCCGGGACGGTTGGCCAGGTACAGCATTCCACCGGTTGCACATTCGGTAGGAACTCTCTCCCCCCTGTGTGCACGCCGTTGCACGCACACACTCTCGCAGCTCCCTCCTCGTCCACACCCTTCTTCCACCTCCCCTTCTTTGCCGGTGTCGTTCGCGTACACACACGCAAGAACGAACGCACACATTGGCGAGCGCACGGGTCACAGAAATGCGGTGCAATAAACACACGACTGACACGGGACGAGGAGAGACTGGCAGCCAGTGGGGCACCATGAAGAAGGGTTGGGCGGGGGATTCACTGGTGTGCATTCGCTCGTCGCTCGCTCGCGCGCGCGTGACTCATGGTTTCATGAATGGAAGCCTTTCGTCTTCTAGTCCTCGCGCATGGTGAATGGTCCACCGGAAACGGCTGGTTACACCCTGTTTCCGTTACGCCGAACTTGCGTCGACGAAGGGAGAGACGTTGACGACGTCCTTCGGGACTCGGCTGCGGGTCTAGCTTCCTTCGGATCGGACATCTTGGGCTAGGATGTACCTACTTCGATCACTAACCCCTTGCGAGAGTTTCCTTGTTTTTCTGGAAGTTGATTTCTGTCTGAATGAATATGTTTCTGTTTGTTTTGAAGCGAGCTAATGATAATTTTTAGGGAACGAGTGTTTTGAGTATCGGAGTTTACTGTGACGAATTAAGTAGCTGAGAGTCACTTCTTCGGTGTAGGGGGTTAATAACGATTCGGACGCAATTGATTCGATTGGTAATTAGCTTTTATGAAGTTTGTTCGTTGCTGATCTATAATTAAAATTGCCATGGTGAATCGCAATTGATAGTTGCAGGCCGTAGCTTGTAATCAAATGAATCGTGGTTGAATTGTTTCAATAATCGGATTAAATCTTTAGAGGTGTCGATTAAGAGCTTGGGAACAGGATTAATTAAAAGATACCCGTGACGTCACACTGCCGAAAGTCATATTTCCTTTAACCCTCAATAGTTCGACCTCGCTACCAGTAAATCTTCAATATTCTCTCTCTCGCTGCAAATATTCGTAAACTTTTTCGACGTCCGGCTTGTCCGGGGATCGAGCTATAACCCAGAACAGCAGATATATTTCACATATAAATTAATTCGGTCCCATTCACCAATCATAACATTCCAGCTGTATTATCACCATAATATCCTCCACGGTATAAACTTTTTCCTACGCCAGGTGTTCCGATAAAAAGGAAATTATATTTCTGCCAAGCAGAAACGTATCCCTATGCGGACGCTTTCCGAAATGTACATACGCGTTAATGTAAACCGCGCCCTCCTCGAAATTAGTTTCCGTATCGCGGCTCGCTCGAAATATTGTTAAGCTTATTTATAAACGCGCCGGTTTAAATCGGTCCCGGATTATTTCATTGCGGTTCCTGCCAACGCGACGATGACCACGCTGAATTGCGCAGCGAAAATCCGGCGCGCCGCAACAAGTTTGCGCGTTCTGAGAACGTGAATCCACCGTTTTAATTTTAACCTTCCGCAGAACGGACCTGGAGCTGGCGGATTTTCTGGGCCGGTCGGGGGAGGGGGGAAACGGCCGGACTCGGGGCAACAAGTTACATCCGATTTCCCGGAAAACCGCGATATCATTTTCGGGATCGCGCGACAGGTGTCGCCGCTCTTTGTCTTTGTGTACGCACATGTGCCTTCTGTCACCGAAATATATCACCATGTCGCCCCTCCCGCTATTTTCTCTCATTCTGACTCATTCATTCCCCTCCGCGCGACGTTCGCCGTGCTTTTACCCGATTTCCTGGCATGGTTTCCCGATTAGCTTGCTCCGCATACGCTTCCCGTTGCGGTCCTCGAATCGCGCGGAGACGCGCCATGTTGGTTCTTTTCATTCATATAGACACCAGATTCTCATGGTTCTGTGGGGAGAAAGGGGAAAATTCTCTGGAATCCACGCGATATATATAAGTATTCGGAGTGTAGTTTTTAGAATGCTTATCGAGAGAATTTTCATTTTCTATTGTGGTTTCGTACTCGTAATGATACTCTTAAGAATTTGAATTTCCAGAGATATCTGTGGTCCGTTACTTTCGAATAGGGAACAATAGTTTTGTTGTGGAATAGAGTAACAAAATAGTTCGAGTATTTGATTTTTAGAATGGTTGACGAATTATTCCGGTATGAACCTTCGTGAAAATTTCTATTTCTAAACGATAAAGGCGTTTATTTTTGTTGAATATTGCATCGGGTCTCGGAGGAGTAAGATTGCATTTTGTTCTATTTTAATACGAACAAACTTTTATAACTTAAATCTAATGGAAAAATACTATTCTAATATAAGCGTCCGAGGTTGCGATCGATACCGAAGTAAATTATTCAGTCGATACTATTTTCTGAATGCTCACGGACACCTCTTTCGCCTAATCTTAACTTCTACCAAGCAAAACGTCGGGACGATACGCTCGACTAAAAGAAAGAGTGACGCCTTGCCAAATGTTACTACAACGTGACTACAATATTCAAATAAATCCCACAGATTTGCAAAAGTTTGTAAAACAGTTGTTATTCTTGTCAAACAACGAGAACAATACACCCGTTCGCTGCGTTTGCCAAATGGCAACCAATTGTGTACTCGGGGCTTGAGGGGGTTGAAGGGGATCGTGTTTCACCCATATGCACCTCGCTTCCATCACGTGATTCTATACAATAATTGATATTTTAAACTTCAACGATTTCATTCGGAAGGATACAAATAAACCATAGAAACGATGATCGAGATTTTTGATTTACCAAACATTCGAACATAAAATCAAATCTACCAAAACACCCAAACAACTTTTCGAATATTTTTTAGTGAAATCATTTTTTATTTCCATCTTTCTAATCCTATTTCAAAAAGTTTGAATTCGCATCAAAATCCGCAGTTCAATCGTTACTTAACCCTTTGTGCTCGAGAGGTCACCACTAGATTTGATATAGCAAAATTATAGTCTTACACATAATATGTGATATAATTACATACATTAATAATAATATAATTATATGTGTGAAATACTGTACGTGCGTACGTTTCTTAGTCTCGAAGAACGCTGTTTATATCTCATTGAGAAATATTGCACGTTTCTAGTGGAGAACTTCCGAGTACAAAGGGTTAAATTTAAATGAACTGAAAAATTTATTTAATCTTCGAGAACGTTGGTCGAAAAGTCAATGAGAAATTGGCTTTGGCACCGTACTCGGAGAGTCGAAGAGAAATGCTGGCTCATTTATATCGTGACGCCTAATAATGACGCTAGATCCGAGCCATCTTTATCAGCAACGGCTCTCCCGTGTCCCCGCCGTTTTCTCTCACCATTTCCAGTTCCGTCCCCCTAACTTTCCCCGTCACTCTCCGTCGGACCATTCGTCAGCCGTGACTCATAGCAGATGCCAGCTCGCAAGTACCTACATACATACTCCGCCACGCGAGTGATTCTCGGCATCGGCCGTGTATCGTTCAAAGGGGAACCGATGCGTTGCGCGCCACCCCCGTGTCGCCGCGGCTAACGCTTACTTAAACTACTTCGATTACCCCCGGCCACGATCCATCGGTCAGATAACGGTCTTATCTCCGCGCACCGATTTAGTACCGATTAATCGACACTTCGGGGGCCCGAGCAAAGTATTTTTCACTGTCACCCGATGATCCAGGGGATTATTCATTGGACACGGGGGTGGTTTCGCCTTCGATCATCTCGACGATCAACGTTCCGCAGTTCGCTGCACCTTTTTTTTCAAATGCGGTAATGCGAGAGATTCGTTTAGTATAATAATAATAACAATGATGATGATGATGATATTAATTATATAATGTATTATAACGTAATATATTATTATAATAATATTATAGTACTTATAATACTAAGTGCTTATTATTATAATATAATATATTATTATTATTATTATTATTATTATCATAACAGTTGTTGTTGTATAACAATATTAACCTCTTGCACTCTTGTGCAAAACAATATGCGCCACTGAAAATCAAATAAAAAATAGTCGGAGCAGTTGAAAGATTTCTCCAAGAGAAAGTTGTAATGCAAAGAATTAACATATTATTTAAGAGCGAAATAAGCAAGGGTAGTTTGTGCATCTGACAGATGGTCGTTTGAAACTTAATATACCGAAGAGTTCGGTAATTCGCCGAACTTCGATTCTAGCAGGTTTTCGATCTTTCTGGTTCTCAAGAATAATGTCGGTCCCCTCAACGGTCACGTCGCATCTGTCTTCATTGAGCCGCAAGACTGATCGGTCAAGGAATGAATTAAGCTCAGCGTAATTTGCAATTGTTAGTGTCTTTTCAATGCGATCTTATGTCCCGAGCACGACATTCGTCCACTTTTTGCCGCGCGTTTTTATTTCCCTCCGAAGAAAGACGCACATTGCGGTTGCATGCATCCGCACTTGCAGCAACTCTCCATCTCTCTCGCTGCTCCCCCCCCCCGGTCCCGCCCTCCCTCTTTCTCTTCCTCTAGAGGCTACCCAGTAGTACGTTCAAGTGGATACGGGCGGTCGTCGCATGTGACTCATTGGCGATATGATAGCGTCCCCCATGTTACGTAACCGAATCGCCTGTTTGGGTTACCGCGACTGGTTTGTTTGACCGTTTATAACGCGATACCCGCGTCATCCGAGCGAGTTGCACGGCTGGATGTATCATTGTGTTCCCGCACGTTCCCGTAAATCACCTCCTAGAAATTCCGGATGACGTAGACGTGAGACGCGCGTCGATGACCTTCATCCACCGGATCATCGTGTCTCTATCTAACCCGGACGATCGGTGATTCCCAGCCGTCTAACTGGAGAAGGATCTTCTTCCTCGCGTTCCGTAGACTGGTCGGATACGCGTTGCATGCTCCGCTCTATAATCTGCCCGAGAATAAAAACTGCCGCGATTTACGACGCTATTCTCTAACCGGTAAATAAATGAGCTCGATAAAACACGATTGACGAGTCGAATCGTCTCTCCCTGTTAGCGGGTTCATGTAGAAACCCGTAAATACACCGTAAAGTCTGATTCTTAAAGGGATCGGGGGTTTTTACTGACACAAATAGGCTGTAAACTTTTACTCTCAACAGGCTGGGGAATTTTTACTGGGAAACAGGCTCGTATATCTTGATTCGCTAGTATGTTGTGAACTTTTATCAGCGAACTCTTATTCATCGACTTCTGGTTTTTGCATGTTGCCAGAGGTGTGTATAGAGGGTATATTACTAGACAAACGTAGCACTCAGGAAATTGATGAAACAAATATCAGTCTTACGATCCCACCTTCTAATTTGCACGAAGAATTGAAGGGAATTAGATAAGAACTTTCCCAAGCAACAATTGCAACTAGAAGCGTCCAGAAACTCGAACGATGGTAGCGATCAGGATGGTAGAGTCACTAGAAAATGAGGACTCTCGTAGCCACGTGTCACTAACGAAATCATCGAAACATCCATAGGTCACTAATGAAATTATCGAAGCGTTTATATATCATTATTATATACTAACGAGAACATTCTCCATTGGTTACAGAGGAAGCCCGGAAAGCCGGTAGCAGCGTGCTGGTCCACTGCCAAGCCGGTGTGTCCCGCAGCGCGACGATCGCGATCGCGTACATAATGCGGCACAAGGGTCTGTCGATGGTAGAGGCGTACAAGCTGGTGAAGAACGCACGACCGATCATCAGCCCGAACCTGAACTTCATGGGCCAGTTGCTGGAGCTGGAGCAGGGGTTGAGGGCGTCCGGTGGTGTGGCGTCTGCCCCGGAGGAGCCTAAGGGTTGCCACCAGTGCCGCTGGTCTCATCAGCAGAACAGCGAGGAGGTGACGTCCGGCTGCAGCGTTTGAGGCAGATGAACCAGTCCCGGATCGGCTGGGAACCTCGCTGCTTCCTCTCGCGCCCTGTCGCGCCGCAGCAGGCAAAATGGCCGACGATCGCGAGCCAGCCGACCGGTGTCGATCGAAACTCTGATACATATCCTGTATATCCGCGCGAAGTGCGTCCTTTCTGTCGCGAACGACAGCTACGACGACAACGAAGAAGAAGAAGAAGAAGAAGAAGAAGGAAAAGAAGAAAGAAGAGGAACTCGGATTTATAATAATCGCTACTATTAAAACACGTGCCTTGGCGATCGCCGAACCCCGACTGAGGGGCAAAGCGGATTTCATACGCAGAGAGACGAATTTCTGTTCGAACGCCGGATAACTCGTTTCCGGGTAACAGCGAAACGACAGGGGAGCCCGTTTGGTCGACCGGGGACCGCAGATTCGAACGCGGCGACGAATATCTTATCGTTGGTACGCGGTTATATTATTTTTTTTTCCCTTTGCTTCGGTTTGGCGGGACCGACGCGCGCTGAACAGTCGCGGGTATTAT